GCTGAAAAATCAATAAAATATGTCGAAAGCAAAGAAAGCATAATAATATATACAATACTCTCTCTAAGTGCCTACGTTATCTACATGACTGAAAGTCACTCTCACGTCGGCAGAAAGTCATGATTTTCGAGTAGTAGCCCGCTTTTCATCAGGTGGTGGATGCTACTGACTAGCTGCTATCTTTCTGGTTTGTGAATTCAACATTAGGGACGACCATGCATGATAATGAAACAAACTAACTATAACGGATCATGCTTCTCCACAATAATCGTACTGCACCACAAAAGGTTTTGCTTATAAAATTGTAATATCATTTATTACGCAAATATTTTGTATGCCTTCACATTTTTCTTTAAAATTATTTTTAATCTCTTATTAGATTACAAAAAAAATCATTTTAAAAATGAACTAATAATTCAAAGCTGGGCCATAAGGAAACAAACAGTGATTGTTCATTATAAAATGTAGGGTTGTTAATTTGAAACCGTTAAAAATGTTCCATTCATTTATTTTTTAATTTTGTGACATCAATATATAACATTAACACTAAACTTTATCTTATTTTATAAATATTTTCCATAGAATTGGATTTACTTAGTTTTTTAGAAGATGAATACTTCAGTGAAAATGTCAAATGCTGCACAGCTTGTTTTTTAAAGCTTAAAATTTAGATTTTTCAATCGCATTTGTCTGCATTAGAATTTTAAAGTTTTTATTTTGCCTCGTGGGTATACGCTTCGTTTGTCTGAAACCATGAAAATGCTGTTCTTCACAAAATAAGCTCCCACAACTGGTATATATTTCTTTTTTTTTAAATCAGAAGCAATTACCCATTAGTTATATTCATGCAGAACAAGATAACATTTTGCCCTAAAAAGTGATGAGAGACTAAGATTATGATTTATGGAATAATTTTATTTCCTATTTTTGTTTGCCCAGTATTCTTTGTGATTAAATTGAAATTCTGAGATCTAAGGAAAGAATCACTCTTTCTATTTGATGATTGGTTCGGTCGATTTGCATTCCCAACCTGTGTAGTTCTATCAATCCTGTTTCGTTACACTTTGAAATAAAGTTTCGAAGTTCGTATGGTAAACCAGGTTATTTTTAGATGGCAAAAGCTGTTTCGAATGGAAGCTGCAGGAGTCGGAAAAAAAGTAAGCAACAACTTGGTGGAATAAAGAATTTGTGAGAACCAGTCACTTACCACAAGAATATTGAATTCTTAACAAACAAATGGTTCTCAGGGCACGTATGTTACGCAACACTACTCTGTTAAGCCTTATGGCATTCACAACTTTCATTTTTGATAGCATGAATTAAGATTCTTTAATTTTAAATAAATAGTATTTGTTTGTTTGTTTTTTAATTAAGCACATAGCTACACAATGGACTATCTGTGCTGTCGGTTATTAGCGTTGTAAGTCCGCAGACATTCCGCTGTGCCACCAGGGGGCTAGTATTTGTTAAACACACTAGTTTCTATCAAGTGAAATATATATATATAATTTTCGATCAATATGTGCTAAAAGTGCAATTTTTCCAAATAAGCAAAAATAAAACGCTAATTAACGTTACACAATATCATAATAAAACTGAAAAAAATTTCAAACACTTCATTCTTAACTAACTTAATATAAGTTTCTGATAAAGTAGAATAAATAATAGTATTTCAACTACACTAGGTGTTAAATGCCGCTGAGAATGCGACCTTTCAGTTAAAACCACGCAGAACTAATCATACTTCTCTAGCTTTATAATTCTCAAAGGTTTTAGTTAAAACTCTATTTATATATGAAATATTTGACCTAAGCAACTATTGAATCATAATTGTTTTGTATGTGCTATAATTCAACCGTTTTGAACGAAAAACCTCGTTGACAGAGGCAGATAATGTTTGTTTGTTTGTTTTTGAATTTCGCGCAAAGCTACACGAGGGCTATCTGCGCTAGCCGTCCCTAATTTAGCAGTGTAAGACTAGAGGGAAGGCAGCTAGTCATCACCACCCACCGCCAACTCTTTTACCAACGAATAGTGGGATTGACCGTCACATTATAACGCCCCCACGGCTGAAAGGGCGAGCATGTTTGGTAGGACGGGGATTCGAACCCGCGACCCTTTTTTTTTTTTAAGATTTGATTCATTTACTTGTCAAAAGAAAACCAGAAGGAACTGCTATAAAAAGCTAAATAAACGAGTTAAATACAAGATGAGAATAATAGTTGACTGTGGAGGTAAATATAAAGAAAAAAAAGATGATGATTTATGTAAGGTAGGCAGGTGGGTTCAGTTACGCTAGAGATTTTTGTAAGAAGAGTGGTGTTTGTGTGACTGACTAATACAGAGAGAGCTAAGCAGTGCACAGGTACAAGCAGTAAATTGCTTGTATAATTTATAAAGACGATTTTATTTTGTTGATAAACAGCAAGCATACAAGAAAATGTAGTGTTGTATGCAATAATTTCAATATTTTAATTTAAACATTTTGTATTGATTGATAGAAGAAGTTTTGAAATGACGTAGCGATGATGCGTGACGTCTAGAAATTGCGTGAGGTAACGTTAAGATTTGACAAGAAGTGCACTTAACGTCTCTATTTTTCTAGAATTGATTGAAAATAAATAATGTATAAAAACGCTAGAATGAGTGAGTTAGTCAGTCAGTTGATAAATTAGTCAAATAATGTGCCTGTTAATGTCATGTTGTCAATCACTTATTGAGTTACCTCTTTCTTGTTTCTTCGATTTGGGTTCATCATTAGTGTATTGTCTTCTTGTTGATTCTTGACAGTCCCTGTTGTAATGTCTATGTTTAAAACAATTCACTCTTTCTAACACCCTTTTGGATGTGTTTTTATTTGCTTCAGGCTTTTTTCTTCAGTTCCTGGTAATATGTTTTTTTTTAAGTTACAATTGAAACACTTGTCTTGTAGTTTACGTACTCCGCTCTGAGTAAAAAGTTGTTTAACTTATCTTTTAATTTCTTTTATACTTACATCAGGGGTAGTTGATGCTTCCACACTAGTTAAAAAGATAATTTCTGGACTGTGCTTTTAGTTACCTGTACCTGATGAGCTTCCTTAACGATGTTCCCCCTACTTTGTTTTAGCCTAATTCGCATATCCTCTTCCACTATAGCGTCTATAAATTGGTCACATGCCAGCAAATCAATAAGTTCACATGGAGCATCTGGGTAAAATAAATGGGCAAGTATTTCCACATCTTCTACAAGTTTGTCCAAGGTCTCACTTTTCTTGAGCACTCTGTATCTGAACTTTGCTTTGAACATTTCCTCGTGGTGTGTTAATCCAGACTTTTTGGATAAGGAAACTACCAATGCTTGCTGGTTTATACAGCTCTCAGCTTAATGCTGTAAAAGCTGGTACTTTTAAATAATCATCAAGATGAACAGCTTCTTACTCACTATCCCATCCATTCACTTTGGAATTTATGCCAACACTTTTGGGTTTGGAAAATACTTTTTGTATAAAGAGAACAATAAATTAGACTCGTTCTGCTTTGGTTGGCGATCATGTTCCTCTGTATCTTGGATTTTGACATATCAGCTATCAGTAATCCATAGCTAACCATATCTGTTCTTCTGCACAGGACTTTTAAACAGAAAAGAAGTAATTTTGCCATTGTAGTATACATAGAAAAGTGTCAAGTATGCATTCCGGGGATGAAGTTACAGAATGAAGATTGTATCCATGATGGGTGGATTGTGTTGATTTCTGGTCCACATCTTGCTGATGAGTGTAATAATGATTGTGGAATTATTCATCATATATTCAAAATGATGTAAAAATTCACACCTGGATTCCATCACATGATGTAAATTTTGTGGATAAATGGTTTAGGTATGGATTGAATCTCCTTCACGAACTGGGTGTGAAAGTCTAGAAATGATTTAAAGGGATGCAACCAGAGGAATCCAGTCTTTCAAGGCTTGTCACAAAAGTGTGTTGGATAGTAGGAGCAATAGATGGTCACATAAGACAATGAACATTTCTGGTTATGGTATTTTCCAACCTTTACATTCCTTTCATAAGGGATTATATGAGAACTGTCAACGATTTTTCAATTACTATCATTCTGGTCTCATACAAAACAAATCAACTGTTTCTATTGTCACACAATGCATGCTTAAACTGGTTACACAGTGTAACACATCCCAATAGATTGTACAGTCTGGAGGTTTGATGTGTAAGATCATTGAAGCAGGTGATGCAGCTTTCAATTTTCCACAGTTGTCTGACGAATATCTGCAGTAACTGGATGTAGACAAGCAAACAGCTGAAGCAGGCATTATCATACATAGAACACCTTCTTGAGGATGGATTGTATGATGTATGGGCTAGCAATGCAAAGATTCAGTCTTGTCAGTTTTCAAGTACAATGTACTCTCTCTGGTTTCAGTATGACCCATCTATACTAGCACAGTATTGCCCATGTCAAGCAAGCACAAGAATAGTGGGGTGCTATGTACATATAGCACAAGTAATGTGGTTGTTCAGATTCAAAGGGTACAAAGCTCACAAGACCAGGTTCCATATCTGAAGATGTCTGTGATGCTGTGACAATCGCTGACGACACTTTGCAATAATTGATTGTTTGTTGAATTTTTTAACAATGGAATTTTTTTTTCTTTCTAATGAAGAATATTCAAGCTACATTCTCAAATTTTCAAATGAAAAGAGTTTCATCGAAATGTTAACATACATTACTTGTTAAGAGTGTATTTTAGATACAACTCTTAGTAAAATTCAAATTGTAAATGGAGAAATATTAACAAATGTTATATATACATGTATAACTTCAAGTATCAAACCCAGATTCTCAGCATTATAAGCCCTCAAGCTTGCCACTGAGCCATCAGTGGCCTGACAGATTCTATAACAGAATTATGTGATTTGTAAAACAGGTGTTACTGTCTTTAAACAGTCAGAATGCTTAAGTATTGCTAATATAAACAGCCACTTATACAAATAACTAAATTTATTCATATTAATAGACCATATACACATAATTCTGAACTAACTTTTACATATTACATGTACAGTTCAAATTTACTTACTTGTCATAAGCTTTGATATCAAAATGTGAGACATGAAACCAGCAAGTAAGCATAAGTACCTTTTCAATTGTCACTAATTTTTTTAAAGATTCATTAAGAAACAGAATAACAAAAGCATGTTTCTGTTGAAATAGTATGAAAACTCTTAAATTAATGCAGCCAAACTATTATTACAACTGTAGCAAATTTGAAAAAAAATATTTAAGTAGCATGTAGAATTTCATAAACAACAAAACATATTTCTTACAGATAAACTTCAATGTGTTCTATACAGATATGTCAACATATGCATATATACCACTAACTTACTAGTTATAATAGTTAATTAAATAGCTATAAATAACCTGCAAGTATCTTTACAGCATCAGTTTTAGTTCACATCATATTTACAAGTGTCATTATTAGTTGAAAGCACGTCAGAAGTGTAATAAACACTCAATATATTTTGTACTTCATACAATTCCCTTTACTCTTGTAGGAAGAAATTCACAAAGAAAATCCTACTGAAAAGAAATGTACAAGTTATTCACCAGGATTTAATATTTTTATACACTATACATATATTCATCATAGCTGAGGAGATCAACAGTTCAAATCATCAATCAATGAAGAGGAAATTATGACCATTTCAGTCCAAATCTTTCAACCATTAATGAGGACATGTATGACCAGTTTAGCTTATCTGATTGAGACTGTGAGTTGAAGAAGAGTAACTCTCAGCACATGAGTCACTGAAGGAAATGTGGTCCACAGACTCTCCATCTTGAGACAGTAAAGTCAAAGATGACAGGCAGTTCTCGGTCAGCCTCCTGTTTCCATACATCAAAGTGCTTTCCAAATTCAAATGATCGAGAGGAGCATAACTGGACATTGACAGATCAAAAGCATGTAAAATGTTGGATGTTTTTTCTACTTCTTGCACCGTGATTGTGTTATTATTGTCAACAACCGGAGTTAGTAATCTCTTGTCTTCATTCAAAACTTCACATGATCCCACGTCGCTCGGAGAGGTGGAGAAGTCATTCAAAAAGTCAAAACAAGCAACAGCTTCTCTTTCTTTCTCCCCAAATCGGTAAAAAAAGTCATGATAGTTTATAACTGATGCCCTGATTCTGGGCAAAAACCCTATTGCAGCATCTCTGTCTGAGGCTGTGGCAAAAAATAAAAACAAATTTACAAATATACAAATGATTAAAAACAAATCAGAAAATTTACAATAGTAAATACTAAAATCATTTAGGAGTTTGTTTATTATTCTTGATTCTGAAACTCCAGAAATAAACTTTTCAAATACGTTTCAAACAACAGGGCTAATAAAAGGATAAAATATAAATTCAATGTTATACATTTTTTATATCCATACAGAAGTACTGACCAAGAACATTTAAATATATAGGTTTTCCAAGATACATCTATAATGACCATGTACTAAATTTACTGATACGCAGGAATAAAACTAAGCTTTAGGGTTTGGTATTGAGACCTGTGTCTTGGGGTAAGGTGTAAAACAAAGCACCTGGGTTCTACTCTGATAACAAGAAAGTACACAAGGAATTTGCTCAATGAAGACAACATTCGTAATATTTCTGCAAACATAAAAGCATGCAAAACACACTGACAAACAATTTACTGAAAATACCTGTATGAAAGAGAATATGCCAAGATACATAAACAATTTGAAAATCATCCAAACTGAAGATATACCCAAAACAAAGATGTTCAAGATACATATACAATTTGCAGAACATCCACAACAAAGACATT